GAATAAATATTGAGGACATCGATGTATGATTGACATCATGGGATTGCACCGACAATCAATATATCACCAAAAATCTTCATTGGTTTTGAATTAATATAGAGGATTTTATTACATGATTCCGGCCGAAATTGAACCGGCGGCCTTCTGCGTGTGAAGGAGATGTGATAACCACTACACCACAGAACCTACTAAAATAAAACGCATTTGTAGCACGCATCGCCAATATTTAATAAACGCTTAGAATAGATATTGAAAACTTTGATGTATGATTTATCATGGGATCGCACCAACAATCAATTTACCACCAAAACCCTTTATTGGTTTTGAATAAATACAGAGGATTTCATTACATGATTCCGGCCGGGATCGAACCGGCGGTCTTCTGTATGATTTATGATTTATCATGGGATTGCACCGACAATCAATAAACCACCAAAAACCTTTATTCGTTCTGAATAAATATAGATTATTAAATTTGATGATTCCGGCCGGGATCGAACCGGCGCCCTTCTGCGTGTTAAGCGGATGTGATAACCACTACACCACGAAACCTACAAAAATAAAACGCATTTGCAGCACGCATCGCCAATATTTAATAAGAGTTTAAAATAAATATTGGTGATTTCGATATATGATTCATCGTGGGATTGCACCGACAGTCAATAAACCACCAAACGCCTTTATTGGTTTTGAATAAATAAAGAGTATTACATTACATGATTCCGACCGGGATCGAACCGGCGGCGTTCTGCGTGTTAAGCAGATGAGATAACCACTACACCACGGAACCTACAAAAATAAAACGCATTTGCAGCACGCATCGCCAATATTTAATAGAGCTTAGAATAAATATTGAGAACTTTGATGTATGATTTATCATGGGATTGCATCGACAATCAATAAACCACCAAAACCCTTCATTGGTTTTGAATAAATACAGAGGATTTCACTACATGATTCCGGCCGGAATCAAACCGGCGACCTTCTGCGTGTGAAGCAGATGCGATAACCACTACACCACGGAACCTACAAAAACAAAACGCATTTGTAGCACGCATCGCCAATATTTGATAAAAGCTTAGAATAAATATTGAGAACTTTGATGTATGATTTATCATGGGAATGCACCGACAATCAATAAACCATCAAAACCCATCATAGGCTTTGAATAAATATATAGGATTTCATTAGATGATTTCGGCCGGGATCGAACCGGCGGCGTTCTGCGTGTTAAGCAGATGAGATAACCACTACACCACGGAACCTACAAAAATAATTTGCATTTGCAGCACGCATCGCCAATATTTAATAAAAGCTTAAAATAAACTAGTTGGTTTGGTATTTAGCCTTGAGGCAAGTTACATGAACTTCCCGATATGTGTAAATAATTGACTTAATCAAAACAAAGTGTAAATAATATACTTCATCAATCCTACTTGAAAAAACGATAATAATTTTAGAAAAGTTTGACGAATTTTTTAAAATTAAACTACTTGTCGTAAGGCCGTAATATTACAGTAAGATCTATAAGACCATGATGAATATCGCCAAAAAAAGTTCCATGAAAATCGGCTTAAATTTTTTTTTTCAACAGTTAATTACAAGAAAACGGCTCGGTAGATTTTCACCTAAAATTAATCAGTACCATTCCCAACTAATATCTTTCGAACAGTTTCTGATTTTTTAAAATCGGTTCGGTAGGATGAGCTTAAATGTGGACGAAAAGTTTAACACTTTTTTCAACAGTTAATTACAAGAAAACGGCTCGGTAGATTTTCACCTAAAATTAATCAGTACCATTCCCAACTAATATCTTTCGAACAGTTTTTGATTTTTTAAAATCGGTTCGGTAGGATGAGCTTAAATGTGGACGAAAATTTAACACTTTTTTTCAACAGTTAATTACAAGAAAACGGCTCGGTAGATTTTCACCTAAAATTAATCAGTACCATTCCCAACTAATATCTTTTGAACAGTTTTTGATTTTTTAAAATCGGTTCGGTAGGATGAGGACGAAAATTTAACACTTTTTTTCAACAGTTAATTACAAGAAAACGGCTCGGTAGATTTTCACCTAAAATTAATCAGTACCATTCTCAACTAATATCTTTCGAACAGTTTTTGATTTTATAAAATCGGTTCGGTAGGATGAGCTTAAATGAGGACGAAAATTTAACACTTTTTTTCAACAGTTAATTACAAGAAAACGGCTCGGTAGATTTTCACCTAAAATTAATCAGTACCATTCCCAACTAATATCTTCCGAACAGTTTTTGATTTTTTAAAATCGGTTCGGTAGGATGAGCTTAAATGTAGACGAAAAGTTTAACACTTTTTTCAACAGTTAATTACAAGAAAACGGCTCGGTAGATTTTCACCTAAAATTAATCAGTACCATTCCCAACTAATATCTTTCGAACAGTTTTTGATTTTTTAAAATCGGTTCGGTAGGATGAGCTTAAATGTGGACGAAAATTTAACACTTTTTTTCAACAGTTAATTACAAGAAAACGGCTCGGTAGATTTTCACCTAAAATTATTCAGTACCATTCCCAACTAATATCTTTTGAACAGTTTTTGATTTTTAAAATCGGTTCGGTAGGATGAGGACGAAAATTTAACACTTTTTTTCAACAGTTAATTACAAGAAAACGGCTCGGTAGATTTTCACCTAAAATTAATCAGTACCATTCTCAACTAATATCTTTCGAACAGTTTTTGATTTTATAAAATCGGTTCGGTAGGATGAGCTTAAATGAGGACGAAAATTTAACACTTTTTTTCAACCAGTAATTACAAGAAAACGGCTCGGTAGATTTTCACCTAAAATTAATCAGTACCATTCCCAACTAATATCTTTCGAACAGTTTTTGATTTTTTAAAATCGGTTCGGTAGGATGAGCTTAAATGTGGACGAAAATTTACCACTTTTTTTCAACAGTTAATTACAAGAAAACGGCTCGGTAGATTTTCACCTAAAATTAATCAGTACCATTCCCAACTAATATCTTTTGAACAGTTTTTGATTTTTTAAAATCGGTTCGGTAGGATGAGCTTAAATATGGACGAAAATTTAACACTTTTTTTCAACAGTTAATTACAATAAAACGGCTCGGTAGATTTTCACCTAAAATTAATCAGTACCATTCCCAACTAATATCTTTCGAACAGTTTTTGATTTTTTAAAATCGGTTCGGTAGGATGAGCTTAAATATGGACGAAAATTTAACACTTTTTTTCAACAGTTAATTACAAGAAAACGGCTCGGTAGATTTTCACCTAAAATTAATCAGTACCATTCCCAACTAATATCTTTTGAACAGTTTTTGATTTTTTAAAATCGGTTCGGTAGGATGAGCTTAAATGTGGACGAAAATTTAACACTTTTTTTTTAACAGTTAATTACAAGAAAACGGCTCGGTAGATTTTCACCTAAAATTAATCAGTACCATTCTCAACTAATATCTTTCGAACAGTTTTTGATTTTATAAAATCGGTTCGGTAGGATGAGCTTAAATGTGGACAAAAAGTTTAACACTTGTTTTCAAATTGCAAAGAAACGGCTTGGCAGATCGTCGCACAAAACTGCCTAACGATATTCCTCAGCGAAATACATCAAATGGCTTTTAAATTTTCAAAATCGGTTCAGGCGTTTTTGAGAAAACGTCGATCAAAAGTCTAATTTTGACAAATGCCAAAAAAACAATACCAATGTTTGCAAACTTTGACGAATTTTTAAAGCTGAACCAGTTGTCGTAGGGCCGCAATATTTTAGTATGATCTAGAAGACTATGGTATCTACCGTCAAAAAAATAATCATGAAAATCGTCGAATGTTTTTTTTTTAAAACTTTATTACAAGAAAACGGCCCGGCCGATCTCTACCAAAAACTAATCAGCACGATTCCCAATCAATATCTTTCGAACGGTTTTTGAATTTTCTTAATCGGTTCAGAATTGCGGGCTAAAACGTGCACGAAAAATTTTTCACTTTTCTGCTATTTATAAAGAAACGTCTCGGCCGATCGTCTCACAAAACTGACAAAAAATAGTCCTCGTGAAGATGCATCGAATGGCTTTTAAATTTTTGAAATCGGCCCAGCCGTTTTTGAGAAAACGTCGATTTACGGCAAAAAATCTGTTCACACACACATACACACACACACATACTTTTTCCAAATTTGGTCTCATTCGATTCAGAATGGCTTGAAACGTCGAGAAAACATAAAATTAGAAAATCGGATTTTTTGATGAAAACATAAACTTCTCCTTCGGGAAGTTAATAATGAAGACTTCGATGTATGATTCATCGTGGGATTGCACCAATAGTCAATAAACCACCCAAATTCTTCATTTGTTTGGAATAAATACAAAGGATTTCATTAGATGATTCCGGCCGCGATCGAACCGGCGGATTTCTGCGTGTAAAGCAGATGTGGTAACCACTACACCACAGAACCTACAAAATTAAAACGCATTTGCAGCCAGCATCGCCAATATTCAATAAAAGCTTAGAATAAATATTGAGGACATCGATGTATGATTGACATCATGGGATTGCACCGACAATCAATATATCACCAAAAATCTTCATTGGTTTTGAATTAATATAGAAATTGAACCGGCGGCCTTCTGCTTGTGAAGCAGATGTGATAACCACTACACCACAGAACCTACAAAAATAAAACGCATTTGTAGCACGCATCCCCAATATTTAATAAAAGCTTAGAATAAATATTGAAGACTTTGATGTATGATTTATCATGGGATTGCACCGACAATCAATATATCACCAAAAATCTTCATTGGTTTTGAATTAATATAGAAATTGAACCGGCGGCCTTCTGCGTGTAAAGCAGATGTGATAACCACTGCACCACGAAACCTACAAAAATAAATCCCATTTGCAGCAATATTGAGGACATCATGAGATTGCACACACAATCAATAAACCATCAAAACTTTTTATTTGTTTTGATAAATATAAAGTATTTCATTAGATGATTCCGGCCGGGATTGAACCGGCGGCCTTCTGCGCGTAAGGCAGATGTGAAAACCACTACACCACGAAACCTACAAAAATAAAACGCATTTGTAGCACTCATCGCCAATATTTAATAAAAGCTTAGAATAAATATTGAAGACTTCGATGTATGATTCATCGTGAGATTGCACGGACAGTCAATAGACCACCAAAAGCCTTTATTGGTTTTGAATAAATGTAGAGGATTCCATTAGATGATTCCGGCCGGGATCGAACCGGCGGCGTTCTGCGTGTTAAGCAAATGTGATAACCACTACACCACGGAACCTACAAAAATAAAACGCATTTGTAGCACGCATCGCCAATATTTAATAAAAGCTTTGAATAAATATTGAAGACTTCGATGTATGATTCATCGTGAGATTGCACCGACAGTCAATAAACCACCAAAAGCCTTTATTGGATTTGAATAAATATAGAAGATTTTATTATATGATTCCGGCCGAGATCAAACAGGCGGCCTACACCATGGAACCTACAAAAATAAATCTCATTTGCAGCAATATTGAGGACATCGCTGTAAGATTCATCATGAGATTGCACCGACAATCAATAAACCACCAAAACCCGTCATTCGTTTTGATAACTATAGAGGATTTTATTAGATGATTCCGGCCGGGATCGAACCGGCGACCTTCTACGTATAAAGCAGATGTGATAACCACTACACCACGCAACCTACAGAAATAAAACGCATTTGTAGCACGCATCGCCAATATTTAATAAAAGCTTTGAATAAATATTGAAGACTTCGATGTATGATTCATCGTGAGATTGCACCGACAGTCAATAGACCACCAAAACCCCTTATTGATTTTGAATAAATGTAGAGGATTTCATTAGATGATTCCGGCCGGGATCGAACCGGCGGCCTTCCGCGTGTAAAGCAGATGTGATAACCACTACACCACGGAACCTACAAAAATAAAACGCATTTGTAGCACGCATCACCAATATTTAATAAAAGCTTTGAATAAATATTGAAGACTTCGATGTATGATTCATCGTGAGATTGCACCGACAGTCAATAAACCACCAAAAACCTTTATTGGATTTGAATAAATATAAAGGATTTTTTTATATGATTCCGGCCGGGATCAAACAGGCGGCCTACACCATGGAACCTACAAAAATAAATCTCATTTGCAGCAATATTGGGGACATCGCTGTAAGATTCATCATGAGATTGCACCGACAATCAATAAACCACCAACACCCTTTATTCGCTTTGATGAATATACAGGATTTCATTAGATTAGATTAGATTAGATTTCATTAGAAACCGACAGTCAATAAACCACCAAAATCCTTAATTGGATTTCAATAATTATAAAGGATTTCATTAGACAATTCCGCCTGGGATCGAACCGGCGGCCTTCTGCGTGTTAGGCAAATGTGATAACAACTAAACCACGAAACCTACAGAAATAAAATGCATTTGCAGTAATATTGAGGACATCGATGTAAGATTCATCATGAGATTGCACCAACAATAAATAAGCCACCAAAACCCTTTATTCGTTTTGATAAATATGGAGGATTTCATTATATGATTCCGGCCGGGGTCGAACCGGCGGCCTTCTGCGTGTTAAGCAGATGAGATAACAACTACACCACGGAACCTACAAAAATGAAACGCATTTGTAGCGCGCATCGCCAATATTTAATGAAAGCTCAGAATAAATATTGAAGACTTTGATGTATAATTTATCATGGTATTGCAACGACAATTAATAAACCACCAAAACCCTTTATTGGCTTTGAATAAATATATAGGACTTCATTAGATGATTCCGACCGGGATCGAACCGGCGGCGTTCTGCGTGTTAGGCAGATGAGATAACCACTACACCACGGAACCTACAAAAATGAAACGCTTTTGCAGCACTCATTTCCAATATTTAATAAAAGCTTAAAATAAATATTGAGAACTTTGATGTATGATTTATCATGGGATTGCACCGACAATCATTAAACCACCAAAACCCTTCATTGGTTTTGAATAAATACAAAGGATTTTACTACATGATTCCGGCCGGGATCGAACCGGCGGCCTTCTGCGTGTGAAGCAGATGCGATAACCACTACACCACGGAACCTACAAAAATTAAACGCATTTGCTGCACGCATCGCCAATATTTATTAAAAGCTCAGAATAATTATTGAGGACTTTGATGTATGATTTATCATCGTATTATTTCATTAGATGATTCTGGCCGGGATCGAACCGGCGGCCTTCTATATGATTTACGATTCATCATAGGATTGCACCGACAATCAATAAACCACCAAAAACCTTTATTCGTTTTGAATAAACATAGAGGATTACATTAGATGATTCCGGCCGAGATCGAACCTGCGGCCTTCTGCGTGTGAAGCAGATGTGATAACCACTACACCACAGAACCTACAAAAATAGAACGCATTTGTAGCACACATCGCCAATATTTAATAAAAGCTTAGAATAAATATTGAAAACTTTGATGTATGATTTATCATGGGATTGCACCGACAATCAATAAACCACCAAAAACCTTTATTCGTTTTGAACAAAATATAGAGGATTACATTAGATGATTCCGGCCGGGACCGAACCGGCGGCCTTCTGCGTGTGAAGCAGATGCGATAACCACTACACCACGGAAACTACAAAAATAAAACGCATTTGCAGCACGCATTGCAAATATTTATTAAAAACTTAGAATAATTATTGAGGACTTTGATGTATGATTTATCATCGTCTTGCAACGACAATCAATAAACCACCAAAACCCTCTATTGGCTTTGAATAAATATATAGGATTTCATTAGATGATTCTGGCCGGGCTCGAACCGGCGGCCTTCTGTATGATTTATGATTCATCATGGGATTGCACCGACAATCAATAAACCACCAAAAACCTTTTTTCGTTTTGAATAAATATAGAGGATTACATTAGATGATTCCGGCCGAGATCGAACCGGACCAGTTGTGATAACCACTACACCACGGAACCTATAAAAATAAATCGCATTTGCAGCACGCATCGTCAATATTTAATAAAAGCTTAAAATAATGAAGACTTCGATGTATGATTCATCGTGGGATTGCACCGATAGCCAATAAACCACCAAAATTCTTCATTTGTTTGGAATAAATACAAAGGATTTCATTAGATGATTCCGGCCGGTATCGAACCTGCGTTCCGTGGTGTAGTGGTTATCACATCTGCTTAACACGCAGAAGGGCGCCGGTTCGATCCCGGCCGGTATCATCTAATGTAATCCTCTATATTTATTCAAAACGAATAAAGGTTTTTGGTGGTTTATTGATTGTCGGTGCAATCCCATGATGAATCATAAATCATACAGAAGACCGCCGGTTCGATCCCGGCCGAAATCATGTAATGAAATCCTCTGTATTTATTCAAAACCAATAAACGGTTTTGGTGGTAAATTGATTGTCGGTGCAATCCCATGATAAATCGTACATCAAAGTTTTCAATATTTATTCTAAAATTTCATTAAATATTGGCGATGCGTGCTACAAATGCGTTTTATTTTTGTAGGTTCTGTGGTGTAGTGGTTATCACATCTGCTTCACACGCAGAAGGCCGTTGGTTCAATTTCGGCCGGAATCATGTAATAAAATCCTCTATATTAATTCAAAACCAATGAAGATTTTTGGTGATATATTGATTGTTGGTGCAATCCCATGATGTCAATCATACATCGATGTCCACTACACCACGGAACCTACGAAAATAAAACGCATTTGCAGCCCGCATCGCCAATATTTAATAAAAGCTTAGAATAAATATTGAGGACTTTGATGTATGATTTATCATGGTATTGCAACGACAATCAATAAACCACCAAAACCCTTTATTGGCTTTAAATAAATATATAGGATTTCAATTAGATGATTCCGGCCGGGATCGAACCGGCGGCCTTCTGTATGATTTATGATTCATCATGGGATTGCATCGACAATCAATAAACCATCAAAAATCTTTATTCGTTTTGAATAAATATAGAAGATTACATTAGATGATTCCGGCCGGGATCGAACCGGCGGCCTTCTACGTGTAAAGCAGATGTGATAACCTATTGTGTAATAATGCATTTCGTGCGGTTTTAATAAATAACCAAAGTACAAGGCCAGCGCACGAATGCGAAAGTGCACATATGTCACGTCCTATACTGAATAAATAGAGTAGTGTTCGTCTATCAAACTCAGTGATGTCTTAGAAGAGAGTCCAGTCTAATAATGTCTTAAAGAGAGTATGTCTTAACACGAATTTATGTCAGTTTGTGATTTGAAAGTTTATTAAAAATTAAATAAAGTGACAGTCAAATCAAATTCAGTGTTTCTATTAGACTTTGCGTATGAGACTCTTTCAGCCTATACCAGTATAAAGTGCTCACGGTTCCGAGGAGATTTCTACCAGTGTTATTGTTTCATATTATAACTATAAGCTCTGCCCACGACACCTGGAAAGGGTTGGACGGATTTATCACCGAATTGGAGAGTGGATCAACCAACATTTGGAACTCAAATCAATTCAACAAACACCCCATATCATTTCAAACCACTACACCACGGAACCTACAAAAATTAAAAGCATTTGCAGCACGCATCGCCAATATTTAATAAAAGCTTAAAATAAATATTGAAGACCTCGATATATGATTCATCGTGGGATTGCACCGACAATCATAAACCACCAAAGTCCTTTATTCGTTTTGAATAAATATAGAGGATTACATTAGATGATTCCGGCCGGGATCGAAGCGGCGGCCTTCTGCGTGTTAAGCAGATGTGATAACCACTACACCACGGAACCTACGAAAGTAAATCACATTTGCAGCATGCATCGCCAATATTTAATAAAAGCTTAGAATAAATATTGAAGACTTCTATGTAGGATGCGTAGTGGGATTGCACCGACAGTGAATAAACCACGAAAACCTTTTATTAGTTTTAAATAAAGGTAGAGGATTTCATTAGATGACTCCGACCGGGATCGAAAATAAAACAATCAATATAC